ATTCACCAAAGGCAGAAGCCGCGGGCCCCTCCAGACTACCAGCTCAGACTTTCCTCCAGCCCCGCCACACGCAGCTGCCAGAAAAACACCTCCCAAGGGCCACCAGAGCCCCATTCAGGTGTTGGTATTCTAAAAACCTCTTCTTGTTAATCCCATACTGTATAACTGATCTGTCACACGGAATAAAGTCTGTTCCTTCGAATATATGTTCATAGTATTCAATTACTTTACAACTCCAGTCTGGGAAGTTAATCATATTGTTCTGTAGTAGGTCTTGTCTGTTCTAATTGTAACAAGTTAAAAGTGGAAAAAAATGAATAAAAATAAAATAAAGATCAAATAAACAATGACAATCAAGTTGACCTGTATAGCAAAAGCCGTAATGGTCCACTGGGGTATTTTGGGGCATGTTGGGCATTTTGGTAAGGTAAGACAGCTTTTTCTAAATAGGAACTAAGTTGTTCTGCTCATTAAAATGACCACATGCCACTGAAAAAGAAAACTGTAATTTTACCCTGCAGAGCACACAACCAGTAAGTTTGTTTGTCTCACTTTGGTATATGCCTATTCTGAATCAAACTAAAAGTTGTTATATATTCTAGTCATACACCCTGTGTTCTTTCATCTTTTTTTGCTTGCTTGGTTCCTAAAACAAAAATGTAGCAGCTCCGGTAACATATCGAAAAAGGTATGTGGCAGCAAGTACAGCATATGTTATATATGTCATATGTGACATATGTTAAATTTATCAAACTAACACCTTTACGTTTTCCGATCGCTTGAATAGCTGAAAACACTGGAAATTACTTTGTGATGTCTCCACAGGAATAGGACAATTGAGTTGATGACTAATATAATTCATGTAATTGTTGGCTTTGATAGTATAATTGGATTTTTTAACTGTGAGATTGTAATGTGTATGTAAATTTGTCAGACAAATGACTGTGCTGAGAATTCAGATGCATGTAAAAATAAATTATGACTTAGAGAGAAGGTCGGAAGGCACAGAGTGTCCCATTCCTGTTCGATTTAAAACTTGGAATAAATATTCTGGGGACATGTGACATTAGCATTAATATGTCTTAAAGTGGTACAATATGGGACCATTAATGTTTACCTAATGTGAAGGGATTTGCTGGTGCTCTAAAAGTCTTTAAACTCCCCTTTCTCCATATTCAACAGAAAGGCTTGAGATTCTTCTTTCTAATCTGACTACATTTTAATTGCAGTGTTGAACAGTACAACAATGCTAATGAGATTTAAAATTTCTACAACATGAACAAAAAAATAAAGTAGTCTGGAATATCATTAACCCAGAATGATCACTCAAGTGATTTTAAGCAATCTGAAACATATTACTCATATTCAGCACAATTTATTTTGGTCCAATCTTTGCTTGAACTTAGGTATTAAATGTAGTCTTATAAATAGGATGTTATTTAACCTATTTGAAGATAAGGTCCCAAGGCTGGCTCAGCAGACACTGGTATAGTAAGTATACTGTTTGTTAGGTCCTTGAATTTTTGAGAAGCAGAGCTCCCAATCAATTATATTTCTTTCTTACTTACATTCACAGTAGAGGCTCCTCATCCATCCACCCACACCTTCACTATATGTTGAGATTATGGCTCTGTAAGAATGTCCCCTTTATTCTTATCCTGTTATGATCGTAAGTGTTGTTGTAAAAGGGACTGTCATGTAAATATAACCAGTGGGCTCGTTCTGTTTGTCTTATTGTGGAAAAATGTATAAAACCGGCTGTAATTCCTAAACAGTCAATGTTTCTGTTGCTGAAAATCTGCCCTTCAATTACACCATGCTCAATTCAATAAACAGATAGATTACATTAATTGAACACATAATGTTATCAGGTTCTAGTTAAGTTTCATTCAAAACATATGTACTTATGCAATTGAATTATATATTATTTTATATTTTTTGGAAATTAAATGTTCATTGATCAGTATGGCTACAGTTATGCTTAAGATCACTTTGAAACAACATCCAGACTCAGTTCCTGACTGGCTATATGATAACAGTGTGGTGCTGACTGGGCTACAGGCAGAAGTCACAGCATACTCTGAGCACTCTGGAAAAATATGAATGAAACTAAACCACACCAGAATAAACTAGTGGATATAAATCCTGTGTAGATACACTATGCCACTAAACTTGACCCCAAGTATAGTGTTGCGCATTACTCTAACCTTTACTTTGTCCTTACTCACTAGGTGGTAGCACGTTGCATCCTTTATTTATGTTGCAGAGATTGGTGGTTGAGTGTGATTTTCAATAGGCTCCATTTGTATATCAACTAGGACTAGAATTCCTATCACAGCAGTCTGTGGTTTATGCACCCTTGAGGATGCATAAGCCAGAGACCTTTTTGAAGACATTTACAGACCTCCTTGTATTTGGCTGCTTCAGTTCGGATTCAATCATCCTGTTCCTGATGATGGGAATGAATCCGACAGCATAATCCTGTCATTACTACAGCTATTTGACCCATTATTAATTTAAAAATGGTTTTTAGTCTAGCTTTGTATGTTCTTAATCCCATTTTTTCATCTCAGTCACCTCAGTTACTTGTGCTTGCCTGATGTGGGAAGTAATGAAGTAAATACTTTGCTACTGTACTTAAGTAGAATTTTCAAGTACCTTTACTTGAGTAGTTTTATTTTCAATGCTCTCTATATAATATGTCCATCTTTTATGTGTGGATATATATTAAAGTATATGAGAAAGTGTGTTAATAAAAATTATAAATCTTTGCAAAGCTCGTCATTTTAGAATTTGAATTTAAACTTTAGAATTTAGAAGCAATCAGCACTTAGGTTTTTCTATCAGATATCAAAAGCACACAGCAGTTAAAGCTTACTAATTAAATTTCTCTTACTGTGAGTTTGGCAGTTCTGTGTTATAAAAAATGCTCAAACTCATTGGCCAGTACTAGGAATGGGAGTTGATACGAACATAGTTATTCCGATTCCATTATTGGTATCACTTACCAATTCAGTTCCTTATTGAGTCTCATTAGGTTCTCTGGTTCCGCTTTGAAAGTTACCAAGCAGCATAAAGACATTACATTCGTGCAAGTTAATTACATGGTGTGTGGTCAAATGATTGCGCTTGTTGGAGGTTGGTGTAATCAGTGTTGGGGGCCAGTACTCAAAAAAAGTAATGTATTACACATATTATTCTGTTCTTAAGTAATGCAGTTCTTTACTTAATTGCTGGGGAAAATGTTTTTTTATACTATTGTGTTTCTCCATAAAATGATGTCAAGCACATTGTCTGATAACTGATTGTAAGAGTACAAACAGAGGCTGCAGGCTGACTGCTTATGTGATTTTCTCTGACAGAATTAAATAAAACCTGATGAAGGTCAAAGGTCGTCACTTGTATGTTGAACTACAAACTTGTCATCTGGAATTTTTTCACAGTTTTTTTACACATAGTGTGTTATTTACCATAAAGTGATTCAGAGTTATTCATACCAGAGTAACCAGAGAGGATCACATATTTTTAAATATATAACTTTCTACAGGACTGAATATAATATCTTTACGTAAAAGTCCGGAGCCTCTGGGGAGTATCTGAGTATTTATAACATTACACAAACCAAAGGTCTCATCACAGTGTTGATGGAATGCTGGGTTTATCCATCTCCTGGGGCGGGCCTACGGAGGAGTGCTGAAGATTTCCCTGTGAGGGAGCTGCTGGTGAAGATCACGAGTCCTGCTTAATCAATGCCATGAGCTTCAGTCTTCCTGGTGTTTCTTAATTGATGCCTCTTACAGCGGGTCAACAGAACTTATGGCACAGGACAGCTGTGATGAAAGAAAGGGAAGAAGTTTCTCCAAACCTCTGGACCCAGGAAACCCAGCTTGGTCCTGATGGTCTCCCTCACCAGTTTCTCTCCAGGGTGAATGTAGCTATATAATATGGACTCTATTATTAAATGAAAAGAACAAATTAGACTAAACTACTGAAACGTTCTGCTGCTGTTTTTAAAGTTTCCATGTTACTAGGCTGTAGAGATTTAAACAGTTTTCGATCCATTACACTCACAGTCTTATGTTAAAATCTCAAAGGACAGCATTATATTTTTGATATTAACAGTAACTCTGGGCCTCTGTAGAGTGTACAGCTGATCTCATCGCTGTCTAAAAATGGATAAAAAAAAAACATAAGTGTTGAATACTATTAAGATTAACAGGTGTGTAGCATCGCTAACTAGCTAGCAACAAGCCTCCAACACAGTGCATATGCTAGTGGCTAATCTAACTAACGAATTAACAACAGAGTGATTTTAGAACTATAAGATGATAAGCTGTGTGTCTTTTTTTATAACAGTGACATGGTTGTTTTTACCTTAATTTAACAAGTAGTCAGTCGCGGTAAACCAGCAAAAAACTCGAGCTGCCAGGCTTCGTAAAAAGTGTAGAGGGGCGTGTTTGCGGTCACGTCCAGCGGGTATGTGGGCGGGAGTTTTACACAGTCGCTCCACCTCAAGTCACTACTGCGCAAACTCTGGCTCCAAATTTGCAAGATGGCAGCCTCCACAAGCAGGATATTTTGGCTTCATTTTTGCACAATGGTAGGAGGCGGTGTTGCGTCGTCTTTTATACAGTCATTGGTACAGACAATTGCAAAGAGCCCAAGTTGTGTTAGTAGCATAATGCAGTTATTTCTGTGCTGAAACAACTGTAGTTTGCACTTTACCATCACACTCTCATCCTTTTGTAGAATAAAAATAAAAGCAAATGTCCATATCCATGCTGTAGACATCACTACTATTAAAGTGCAAATGTAACACATAAGTGGAATGAACAGGTAAGCAGACTAACAGCTCCAAATAAGTGAACTACTGGGATCCAGTTCTCAACAAGAATCAATTCTGAATTCCCATCCCTAGCCGTTACTGTGTGACCTCTGTGCAAAGGTCTCGCTATCTCATCAGTGCAGATGATCACCTGCTCTTGTATTTTGTGTTGCAGTGCCATCATTCTGGGGGCTGGTAAATTCAGCCTGGAACCTATGCTCAGTAGGGAAGAGGCAGTCGCCAGTGAACATCGAGACCAGCCACATGATCTTCGACCCCTTCCTTACACCCATAAAGCTGAACACTGGCAGACGCAAGGTAAAGAAGCATATGTTAATGTTTTTCTATGTTGTCTGCTTGATGGATGCTGGTGCTTTGTCGATTCTTTCTTTTGTATGCTCGTTGCACCTCTATGATGTCGCACTACATTCATCTAATGCTATTGTGTTGGTTTCTGTTGTACAACTTGACAAGGTGTGTGTCCCTGATCAGTGCTACCAACTGTTGTTTATGTTGGCAGACAATGCAAGCTCCTTAAGATAAAGTGCAGCTCACTTCATCCATTCAGGAATACACAACCCTTATGTTCTGGCTCAAGAAAAGCTGTGACTTTATCTTAAGAGCTTCACAGTTGATATCCTGCAGCCTAACAGTGCTTTAGTCAGTGGTTTCTCTTGTGATCTTCCCTGTACAGTGGTGTACAAGGACAGGACTCTTTTTGATCATGTGCCATATGACAGCAGCTAATTAAGAAGAATTCACAGATGGTGTGTTTTCAAAAATGCACACTTGCATTCTGAAATGAATGCTATGATTAGTTGTTATGTTTATATTCTAGCAGAGTACAGTGTTAGCCTTGGGCAGTGATAGTGCAAACGGGATGCATTGCAAATTATCACCTATGGTATACTGCTACAGTAGATGTCTTCATCTAACAGATCTCGAAATAAAGTGTTTTCCTTGATTTTTAATCATTTTAATTATTTAGAATCCATTGTAGATCCATCTGCAGACAGAGAAACAAGATAGGATTGGTTGTGAACCCTGTGATTACAATAGGCAGTTGCATTGTACATGTCTTGCAAAACTTATATGAGAAAGGAAATTGGTTGTGGTTATATGTTGTGGTTAATCAGTAAGGGGCAGGCAACCCTGAGACTTTCCTAACCAAATGAACTTAAATACATAACATCCAGGTGTAATCTAGTTTTAATATAATATAAAAACTAATTGCTAACATAATGTGATGCTTATGAGTAGGGATGGGTATCGAAACCCGGTTCTTGTTGAGAACCGGTTCCCACTGTTTCAATTCCTTGGAATTGTTTGCCATTTTTGCAAACGATTCCCTTATCGATTCCAGTCGCCCCGAATGACGTCACCACGTTGCGGAGCGTCATTTACCTGGCAGGAAACATGGCGGCTCAAACGCTCAAAAGTTTGGTTATACTTTACGAGAACGGATGACAACAGGGCAACTTGCAATACTTGCAAAGTAGATATTTCATTTAAGGGAGGAAACACTACGAATATGCAAAAGCATTTGCTCACAAAACACGCGATGACCTTAAATGAATGTCGTGCAAGGCTCGCAAAATTTCAAAATCTCTGGTAGCCCTTCGGGCAGGCATTCTTCAGTTTTTGGTAGCCCAAAATAAATTTAAGGAGCCCGAATAAAAAAGAAAGCAATTTTTTAATGTTTTGTTTCCATTACAATATTATACATTAAAGTATAATATTGTAATGGAAACAAAAATTAATCAAAAAAATTGTTAAAATAAAAATCACAACAACTGTATAAAAATTACAATCATCAACTCAAATACTTGGTTCAAATTGAACAGAAATTTCTATGAACTTGTAAGAACTGTGTAGGACATGAATCAGTCTGTGTCAGATCCTGAATCTGAAATTTCCACTGAAGTCACGGGTAAGTGGAACCAAGATCTAGGCCATTTGCTTTTTGAAGTTTGCAAAGACTGCTAAATTTTGCCAATGGTAGTTCACTTTTGCAATATAGCACGCTGTTCTAAACAGCTTTTTCAGGAGTTCTTGTTGTGCTTGGTTTATTTTTAGTATGTTTTTTGCAATTGGTGTTTGTTCCTGGAAAGATACTGCAGACTGGGCAATAATGCATTTCTTGCATTTCTCATGGGTTCTGATGCGGTCTTTCTTAAAACTACTAGTCCCAGTAACAAAGGCGCTTGTCGACTCAGAAATCAAATGAAACTCACAACACACCTGGCAGAACATCATGTTATTTAGCTCGTCATATTCCAGCCACAGAAATTCTTTTGTCCATGAAACCAAAAAAGCTGCGCTTTCTTTTTGCCTCATAGTCTGATTTGTCATAACTTTTCCGTTTTGTGGTAAGCTTTTCTTTGGCTGCCCCTTCTTCACCCTGACCTGTCTTATTTGGCTCAGCAGAACTAAAATACCAGCGTAAATCCTGCTGCTTTTACACACGTACTTACATAACGGTCAGCGATTCTTTGCGCACTCAACCTCTCACATGTTTAAGCTTGCTGCGAGAGATTTCACTTGTCGCGTTTGAACAGTAAGCTAATGAGTGATAAGACGAAGTCAGAGGAAATGGTGCGCAATTAATCGTCACTCACCAATCAGTGCTGCTGCTCTCTACACACCATTCGCGCGATCGCAAAATGAAAGTGAAAGCAAAAAACAAGCGCAAATTCAAAAGCGATTTCAATATGTCACATATTGACAGTGGCTCATCGATGCCAATGACATAATTACTCAGCTACATTGGCGAAAGAATGCAAAAGCATAGACATATATTTTCCTTCCTATGATAGCCCGACGGGCAGGGCTGAGTTAGATTTTGGTAGCCCGACTGGAAAAATCGCTAGCCCCGGGACGTCGGGCTAGCGATTTTGCGAGCCCTGTCGTGTTTTTAATTCCGCTCCGGACTCGTGAATCTCAACCCAGCAGCAGCGGTAACTTTGCACGTCCTCTCCCGTTAATGCGGCAGGTAAATAATCAACTAACAGTGCATATTATGTTAGCGCGATCTGCCTTATTACAAAACCTGCCATTACTGTGCATTTAGGTGACCATGATGAGAGAGACAGAGTCTGGCTCAGATGCTGGCAGTTCTCGCTGCAGTCTACCGGTAGCGTCTCCTTTCAGGCCAGGATAGACGAATGTCACCGAGCAGTGACTAAGTTTGTGGGGTGGCTGTAGCTCAGGTGGCAGAGCAGGTCAGCCACTAATCAGAAGGTCGGTGGTTCGATCCCAGGCTGCCTCCTGGCTGCATGCCAAATATCCTTGGGCAAGATACTAACCCCGTGTTTGCCTACTGGTGGTGGTCAGAGGGCCCGGTGGCGCCAGTGTCCGGCAGCCTCGCCTCTGTCAGTGCGCCCCAGGGCAGCTGTGGCTACAATGTAGCTGCCATCGCCAGTGTGTGAATGGGTGAATGACTGAATGTAGTGTGAAGCGCTTTGGGGTCCTTAGGGACTAGAAAAGCGCTATACAAATGCAGGCCATTTACCATTTAAAAGGCTTACACCCTTTTGCCACTAGTGATGTGTCGGTCACGAACAAAATGGCTCTTAGAGCCGTATCTTTGACGTGAACGACGCGAGCCGGCTCCTTATCGCGAGCCGTGGGTTTTTTTTCTTTCTCTCACCCTCTCTCGCGCTTTTTTCCCCGCTTCACTCCGCATGCGAGCCTTGTGCTTTGAGCTGGGAAGAGGGGGGAGGGGCGGTAGTTACACTCGCAGTAGCACAGGAACAGAGCGGGAGGGAGAGAGAGAAAGAGCCAGAGACAACAACATCACATTAGAAAGGTATAGTAGCAATTGAATAAAGGATTCAGAAAGTTTATTCATGCAGGTCCATATGACAGAGAATGTGCATCTTCTTTTTGTTTTCATATTTTAATTTATATTTAATTGTGTTGTGGTTTGCAGTGTTTTGTGTTGTTTCACTTTAAATTTGTTTAAAAGGAAAAAGCTGAAAATTGAAATAGTTAAAAGTTGAACTGTGAATAGTTCGTTTTTGTATTATATGATTTATTTATACATTTTATGTGGAGTGAATAAATACCTGGTGCTGCAAGCCTCAGTCTGCCTGGCAATGACCCTCCTTGGACTGAGAAAAACCTCACCTGCATCTGTAACTGTCCCAAGCTTGGCTGGAAAATCTACTCAAAAAAGTTGCGTTTGCTCCCCAAAAATGCAGACGTGAAGGTAGCAAATGATTGTTCATCCTGTTAAATGCCAGCACACCCTAAGCAACGCATTAGGCAAACTGCTTGCTTTAACTGCCTGTAGTGTATTTTTTTTAGCTGTTTCCAGTCTTCTTCTGGGAGGTGTTGGGCTCTGCTAGGGCTTTGTCAGTGTTTCTGTTTAGAATTTTTCACAATTTTTAGACACAGCAAAGGAGCAGAGGGTTTCGGGTGTGGTGGAGTCAAAATATGTGGTTCGGTTGGCTTCACTGAGCAATTACTTCATTGTACTAGGGTGGTTTGCTGCTTAATGTGAAGCAGCTGACATGAGAATTAGCACTCCCAACTGCAACGAGTTGCTACCCAAAGTGGCAGAGGTTAACTATCTGTTAGAAATGAAATGATTCTCTTATGAAGTGAGACACACAGAGTAGTGAGTTCCAATGCGTGTATTTACTTGCAAGGAAGCAAATGTCTATACGAGTGCTTGCTGGGGCAATCCGGTGACTTTCATTTATACACTTCATCCAGTGTTATCCTGGGAACAGATATGTGTGTGATGCACTTATAGAGAAACAGTTAGCTACATGATAACAGATAGCAGAGGGGGCACAACAAGGTCTGAGAAATAGACATATTAGAGGAACAGAGCAATAGAGATTCATTCCTTTAGCTGTAAAGAGTTTTAATTTTAAAGAGTGTTGCTTAGCTTTAATCATTTTTCTATCATTCCCTCCTGTTTATGCTACACTCCTACATCATAGTTTACAATATGCAATGTATTGTTTTTCTGCTAATACATCAGGCTTATCTCGCTCCGGTCATTATTGCTTTACACTTCCGTACTGTCCGCAGTGTCATTATAAGCCCTATTTACATCCTGCATATCCCCCACCTTCTCTGCCAGTAACACATCTAAAACTATACTACTCTGTCTTCAGAAAAGTTGCACAGGTTTCTTTCCTTTCAGAGGGGAGTCTAGCTGTCAGTTTATGATCCACCACACATTAGCCCTTCTGGTGGTGTGGTTTACAAACCAGTCCTGTTGTAAGGGGAAGTGGCTCATGTCATGTCATTGGTGACATTGCACCAGCTTAGGTCATGCAGGTACTGGCCTTGTCCATTCCTTT